AAGAGCAAAATATAAAAAGGCCTCAGAATGAAAGAAAGTTTACTGTGATGTGAAACCCTCTCAGTCCTAAATCGTTTCTGGGCTTTTTGTTTTTGCTCCAGAAACATTTTTCCTCACTGCGGGATCCTTTTAAACTGCAACACAACGTCCTGCACCCCTGTGGAAACAGAGCAACCAGGAAGAAGGAGAGAGAACGCCACGAATAATTAAAAAAACAAAAATCAAAGTGTGGTTATTTACTTTAAAGAAACTGAAAATAATAACTGAGCCAAAACGTGCAACACGTCTGGATGGAAGAAAGTTTCTCCTCATCCTGTCGATGTTTCACCTCTAACATGTTTCTGACCTCCACAAACTCTGCGTTTAACGTCTGCACATCAGCTGGAGGAAGATGCTCCTCCATCAGCTGAATGTATCCTGAACCAACCGGCTCCTCTGGTAACTGGTTCTGATCCATGCTGCATTTATTTTATGGATCCAGTCGGTCTGGTCTCTCTGGTCGTCTCCTCTCTGCTCACTGCCGGCAGTTCAACCTGAACATTCTCAGAATTCTTTTCACGTGACTGTTGGTCGGTGCAAACAATTTACTTTGGAAAATTATGAAACGAACTGTTTGGATTAAAGTGCTTTTAATGAAATATCACAACATTAAGCTTGGATTGGGTTCATTTCCTGAAGGAGCTGCACATCACATGTTCACTCGAGGACCTTTGGAAAGTTTCTGTTGTGTTTTTACTCTTTCTAGCTCTGACTAGTGGTGGAGTTTTGTGATGTTAGGGCCCATCACCGCCTTCCTCACGGTGAGGTTCAGGAACAGTCAGAAGGCTCCTGCCCAGGAGCTCAGACGGAGCTAGAAGATCAGACCACGGGAGTTTCTGCCTGGTTGCATAAAGCTTTCAAAGCAAGCAACAAAATCATAAAAATCAACGATGAGGTTCACATTTCGAGCAGCATCTCACTAGTGGTATCTGATGCAGGCGTATTCTGTGGCGTCCCACTGCTGGACCAGCACTCGGTCGGAGCCGACGGGGAGAATTATGTCAGCGTAGACCACGTCGTCTGCACTCACAACCTGCAGACACACACCTTGGTTAGCATCCCAGCGTTTGATAAGCAGCTCACTGTGTGTGTTCTCCAGAGACTTACGTTGTTGGTGCTGATGGTGTTGCATGACTCATCAGGCAGCCGGCCGTCTGAAATAAAAATACAGCCGCTAAATATAAGGAGAGCTTCAGAGCAGTGTGGATCTGCTGCTTGCATAAGAAAGCCTCGGTGACACGCTGCATTTGCAAAACAATCACCGGCGTGTTGGCGACAGTGAGCCTGAACCTACAGATGTCTAACATGTGAGAGGCTTCCTCAGAGACCACACGGTTGTGCAAAGCGACCTGTGGACACACGCTAAGAACAGAATGTAAAGGTCTGTTTCACAACTTTCCATAGTGGAGGTTTCACCAGAACCTGCTTATAGCTTCAGGAAGTGGAGGAGAGCTTACCCGCTCTTCTTCTGTTCACAGCAAACGCTACGACCGCCAGCATCAGCACCAGACAGCCGACCACCCCGACGGCAGCTCCCACCGCGTCCTGGCTCCGGCCTGACCAGAAAGATCACAGTGCAAATGGTGAAACAGGGATGATGACGGCCGAACAATGTTCTCTACGTGTATTTTCAACCTTAAATTTAGATGTGGAAGAATATACTTGAGTAAAAGCACCAATACAGCAAATTAAAAACACTCCAATACGAGAGTTGCATTAAAATTAAAGAACGTTGAAGAAGTTCAAGTTGGTAAAAGTCCTGGGATTGTTCCTGGGACTGATAGATGACTATACGTGGCATCGTTATATTAATAATAGCGTCAGCAGCAGGGTGGAGCTGCCAAACATTAAACCTTGTTAGGAGACGTATTAACTCCACCTGAAGTCTCTGGTTTTTACTGTCAGACAGTCTGAACACTTATAAACATATTGTGTGTAATGTGAGGTCTGATACGTTGAATTAATCTCCAGCTGGATCCACTCATTAAATCTAGTTTGTAAAGGAACAGAACGCTGGCAGCAGACGTCCAGCCAACACGGCTCGAGGGTCAAAACTCTCCTCAGACTTTTATTTTGAAGCATGAAGAGGATTTAAGATGTGTTCAGTCCTGGTAGTTTCATAAATGAATCATGAAACCAGCACAAACCATGAGGCATGTTCGTATCACTGTGAGCGTACAGTCCTGGTAGAACTCAGGAGATGGAAGCAGCTTCACGTGTCAGTAGGAACACAAAGGTTTGGACTTGTGCAGCTGATGGCGCTCATGTCAGATAAAAAACTGGTTCCTTGTGTGAGAAAACAAATTCCATCTGAGAGACAACGTAGTCCATTAAACGTAACAGCTTAGCTTCACATTTCATAGTTTACTAGTTAGAGAGACCCAGAGCCGAAAGCTGCTGCAGGTGGAGCTGCTTCACCTCCAGTTTAATATACAGCACATCAAGGTAAAGGCTCCACACGTGATTAATGGGAGAGAAAAGAAGGAAAGACAAAGTTCTGATCCACATGGTGGAACATCTTTCTACAGCTGATGTTAAATCCTACATCATGTGGCTCCACCACTTTTCTTTCCCCAGCTTCGTTAACATCTTTGTGTCCCTGGTACATGCTGATTCCATTTTCTTTTTAGTTTTTATAAACTAAATCAAAGAACTGAAGAAAAAAAAAGTCAGGATGTGTGGCGTTATATCTTTGTTAACCTTCACAGAAGACATGAGCTCTCTCTGCTTCCAGCCCTGGTGGTTCCCACAGAGGTCAGGACTTCATGTGGTGGTGAAACCAGAGGCTTTAGTTGTGTTTGTAATGTTGTAACGAACTGGAAGCATCAATTAGCATTTAATGTCAATACTCAGTGCAAACACCTCAACATGTCCCTGAAGCCGAGCACTTCGTCTGCAGTTCATTTACACACAGATCAGGTCTGTTAGCTTCTGTGAGCGTGACGCTGTACCTTGGTTCTCAGGCTCCAGTTCCACCACCAGGCCTCGTCCCTTCCCTTTGATGGCTGCACAGAAAACTGACTGTTAGTTTATTTAACCTTGTGAGTGGAGCTGTGCTCATGGGGGTGAACTGACCTGGAACTCTGACCTGCAGCTCCACTGAAGTCTGGACCTGATCTCCAGCGCTCACCTGGCACCTGAACTTCTTGTTTTCAGGCCCCTGCAGGGTGACGGTCAGACGTGTGTCACAAGAGTCCAGCTGCTCTATGTGATGCTGGGCGTCCTCCTGGATCTGAGTGCCGGCTTCGTCCACCCACGTCAGGCCGACGAGCTGCTGCTGCTCCGTGAAGCAGTGTCCCTGCTCCACGGAGGCCAACAGGACGCACTGCAGCGACAGCGTCCTGCCCGGCAGGAGGTTCACCTCCGGGGCAGCCGAGGGGCCTGAAAGGATGAAGAAGGCTGTGTTCATGGCTCCGGTTCTGTCTCCATCACAACACCGTTTATGAGAGAAAGGAACCACGGAACCAGAAAGAACCGCCAGTGTTTTAAAGTTTCTGGAACTTTAACCGCTTCATCAGAATCATTTAAAAAATTCTCCAGAAATGGTTGAAATCTCACGAATCAGTCGACTGTCGTGTTTCACAAACAACGTTCACAGCACATAAAAAACACACATGAGCAGCAAACATTGAGAAAAGGTTTGGACAAAGAGAAGGTCAGTGGGATTTAAAAGGAACTGAGATCCCAGGTCCAGAACAGAAGTGACGGAGCGTCGTGTTTGTGTGAAAGGAACCAGTTTGTGGAACAATCTGACCAAAGAAACCAAAGAACCAGTGTTTACATGTAGCAGGACATTAAAGCCGGTGTGTTGAGGAGATCTGTTCATTATGTCTGATGGTAAAGACAGGAAACCATCACGCCAACGTTTCTCTGTTTGTTTTTAAGAGAAGTAAAGAAAACGTACGTAAAGTAAAACATGAGGAGAACTGTTACACGCTGTTGTTGTTGTTGTTGTTGTGAATATGTTGTTGTTTATTGTGTTGTCGATGCTTTTAGTAATTTAAGTTTGTTGTAAATTCATTTCTGTGGGTGAAGGAGGCAGAAAGCATCAGATGATTCTTCTTTCTGCTCTTTTCATTCACGAGTGTTTGTGTCAAGTTTGATTGTTTAGTTTTAGGTCAATGAATGAAATTTTTAAAAATTAAATTTAAAAAAATAAAGCGAATGCACCAGATTCTGTTTAAAAAAAAAAACCCTGTTTGACCCGGTTGTGACCACCAAGAGACTGAGAGGAAACCAAACATCACGGGTCAACAGAACAAACGCAGCACGGCTCAGAACCAGCGACCAGGTTCTGTTCACGGTGTTCTTTGTGTCTCCTCCACACAAGCTTTAGTCCTGACAGCACTCACCGTTGTGGACTCCTGGCCTTGGCCGGCACCGATGACGTCCAGCCTCCTCCGCTGTGAGGTCTTGGATGTGCAGAGTGCATTTTGACTCATCGTCCTGCAGGTCCGATGTCTGGATCTGTCCGTTGCCGACGACGGCGATGTAGCTGCTCGCTTCAGCCGTCCTGAAGCGCCACAAGTGATAGCAGACATCATCTCCACATGGATATGTGATGTCATAGCTGCTGGCTGCAGATATCAGGCCGTCGACGCCTAACGAGAGAACAAAGAGACGCTCTGATGAAGCTGCTCTGTGTGAAAGCTCAGATGATCAATGCTGGTCACTGTACCTGCTCTGATCACAGACAGCAGCAGCCTCGTCACGCTTCCCACCATCCTGCTCCTCAATCTGTTCACTGAGGAGAGGAACCACTGAGCTTCACCGCCGTCACTCTGCTGCAATGTCACTTCCTGCGTTTGCCAACATCCTCAACCCGCGGGCATGCAACGTTTCACCAACCGTTGCATCGTCAGAACAACAGTTGTGCTCATATCTGCTTCATACAACGCTGGAGCTGAACTTCATCTGAACCGTGAGGAGCAGCTCTGAACGCTGCCTCTTCTCTCTCTGCTTCAGCTGAAGTGTAGAACGACTCACCAGTGAATCACGCTGATGATCAGGCTCCTGTCAGCAGGTGGGACGTGATAGGCAGCCGGGAAACAGGGAGATCTGGGAAACGATGGAGGGAAGGAGCAGGGAAACGAGCACCATGAGGGTCTGAGAGACGAACTGTGATGGCAGCTCCAGGTGCTGTGGGGGGTTTCTGGAGCAAGAGTGGTCCAAGGAAGGGCAGCTAGGGGCAGGTTGATGGGCACCAAAGGCTCCTGTCCACCACTGGAAGCTCCCACAACAGACATGAGAGCTGAACCATGCTAGGTGGCCCGGTGTGATGGACGATGGAGCAGAGATGGCAGCAGGATGGGAGGAGACGTCGGTTCCTACATTCATTTGGATGCTAGTTTGACGTCTAAACATTGCTGTAAACCACATTCACCTCCTCATGGTACCTCCTCAGTATGACCTGATGGCCGCTTTTAGCAGGAAAGTGCTGCAAACACTGTTCAGGAAATGTGTGAGGAACCAGATCTCAGTCTGAGCAAGCATCTGGGGGATGTTCTGGAAGGACCAGGATCTGTTTCTGACCAGTTGTCAGACAGTAAAGCTGATAAAGTCAAACAAATGACACATAAAATGAGCATTTTTAGGTCTTTTTTCTCATCTAAACAACTCAGAAAGCAGAAAACGTGGATAAAGTACCTTCACCTCTAAGTACTGAGCACGAGTCACCTCAATGCAGCCGACTGTCATCTCCTTTCTACTTTTTATTTAATATAATTGAGCTGCTTCCTCTCCAGCATGTTGGTAGAGAGACTTCTGGTCTGCTTTGTCACCGTGATGGTAGTTTTTTCATTTGGCTCAGACATTTCCCTTCAAGAACCAACAAAGTGTTCTGATCCATTCGTCGCTATCTTCAGATTCCTCTCATTAGAATCAGTGTTTTGGGATTCGGTGTCACTAATTAGAAGCTCCTTGAGCAGTGACGAGTGGATCCAGCTTTATTTAAACTTCTGTCGTCGGGACTCTCTTGAAGTGTGTGTGTTGTCGTCGCTCCAAGAGCCACAGAGCTCCGTGGTTCTTTCAGAGAGGAGGGTGTGGATGTCGATGCTTCTGGCAAAGACCTCCGCCGTGGAGCTACTCCATCACGCTCACAGACATCCTGCTGGCTGCTGCCAACAAACGGGTTGTAATGAAATGACAGTGGCGTCTCCCACCGCCAGCTGGAGGCGGCTCTGGGGATCGTATATCTGTGGTAAAGATAAACGTCTTCTATAAAACATGGCCACCGTTCATCCACTACATGGAGGATCTGCACGAGCTTTAGATTGAATGAGTCCATCTTCATTTATGTTACTGCCTGTGAATGTGTCTTTGGGATGATTCTGGACCGTCACTGTGCAGCTGTGCTTGATCTCCAAAAGATCTGAAATAAATCCAATGAGAAACCATCTGCAAACGCTGTAGGGGGAGGAGCAACAAACGGCCAATTAAAACCCAAACTTAGGTGTTAATGTCTCCTTCAGGATATCAGGATGTGGAACTTCCAACCAGTCAGTCAGAGCTGATGAAGCCTCTTGGATGGAGGT